ATTATTATTGAAGTTAAATGAAAATGTCTACACTACTTTGGGGAGTTAACACGTGACCAACGTTAATAGGACAGTTGCCTTTTTGGGTCATTTTAATAATTTAAAACTTTTCTCCATACAAGTCTTGAGCATCTGAGTCAGTTCTGAAATAGTTCTTATGTTTTCATTGATAATATGGGTAGGTTCTCATTTTCTGTTGTGTTTTCTTCTGGCTGGTTATTGCTAGGGTCGAGGAATGCTAATACTTTTTAAGTTGGTCACTTTGAATGTGTTCAGATTCTGTTGGATTTTTTCCTATACATGATGATGCTATCTTAAATGTGAACGACAGTGAGTCTCTCTGTCTCTTCTTCCAGTTATTTTACGTGATGTTTCTCCTTTGCTGCTGCCTTTGCTGGGACTTCCAGTATGACGCTGAGTTGTTGCAGTAGTGGCAGACGTCTTTGCCTTGGTGTCAGTCTTAAGAGAAGTAAGGCAAAAATTCCCAGCGAAGGATGGCATCTGCTGTAGGTTTTAGTATGTCATGTTCATCCAGTCAAGGAAATTCTCTTCAATTCCTTGAGTTTTTAAAAGTCAATACATGTTAAATTTGATCAAATGCTTTTGCCAATTTATTAAAATAATTTCTGCACCTCTATGCTAAACTCTGCTCTGCCTAAAAGTACTTAGAAAGCTCTGTGTGCCAGACTGTGTTGTAGGTGCTTTGTAAATATCTACTCTCTTAATCCTTAGGACAGCTCTATAGAGTAGAAACTGTTTATTATCTCCTCCTTGCAGACGAGACAAAACACAGAGAGGTTAATTAATTTACTCAAAGTCACACAGCTGGTCAGGTCCATCTCTAGCATTTGCAGTACTTGGGGTATAGTATAAATGGACACACAGATACCAATTCTAGATATTTAAAGACATAAAACAAGATAACAAACTGTTAAATAAAACATCTGTCCTTTTATCTGAGAAATATACCTGGATAAAGATAACCAAAGATGACCAAATTTAATGATTATTTGCACATTTTGGTATTCCATTGTAAGTCTGAGACATGAGACAGTTGGATGAGTTCTAAAGTCATACATAACTCAAAAATTATGTATTCCATAAAATTTTTCTTGCCTTCAGTTCAATAAAATAAATCCTGATGTAATCAAGATTTTCATGTAGTTGGTGTTCTATTGATAGTAGTGATATAAAAGGTTAAAAATAAAACATAATTATGCTCAAAACATGCAAAATTAAAGTTTTGCCACCTAGAAGTGAAAGTAAATGTAAAAGAATTCCTGAAACTTTCAAAAAAATTTTCATCTAAAATTCAGAATTACCTGTACACATTAAGAAGCAAAATACAAATCAGTAAGAATTTAAAAATTAAATGTATTTAAAACTTAAATTTATTCATGCTTTGAAAATGCAGTCCTAGCGTTCGGTGTCCATCTAGTTGTCAGCGAAAATCATCCATCTCGGGCCGGGCGCGGTGGCTCAAGCCTGTAATCCCAGCACTTTGGGAGGCTGAGGCGGGTGGATCACGAGATCAAGAGATCGAGACCATCCTGGTCAACATGGTGAAACCCCGTCTCTACTAAAAATACAAAAAATTAGCTGGGCATGGTGGCGCATGCCTGTAGTCCCAGCTACTCAGGAGGCTGAGGCAGGAGAATTGCCTGAACCCAGGAGGCGGAGGTTGTGGTGAGCCGAGATCGTGCCATTGCAATCCAGCCTGGGTAACAAGAGCAGAACTCCGTCTCAAAAAAAAAAAAAAAATCATCCATCTCATTCTTTTACCCTTAGTATATCTAGAGATGGGTATATCTAACTAGAACGTATAGAGTATCATATGAATTGTTTAGGGTTTCGAAGTGTCCCCAAGCTGTGTGAACGCTGCTCTAATTTAGCTCATTTGCATACCTTTGCTACCCCAGCATGGAGCGTGAAGAGAAACAAGAAAATGGATGCCCCGTGTTTCTAGGAAATGATCCTTCATTTCTCGGGAATCTATTGCAGGAGTGCTAAGAGGAAGATTTGATAAGTTGGTTAATTTGTCTTTTCTCTCACCGAAGCGTTTTTGCAGCTCAGATCCTCCCTGCGACTCAGAGCTGTGCCCTCCTGCTGTTGGCAGCAGTGCATACAACCAACTTCCACAGTGTGTGGATTCAGGTTGCTGCTTGTTTCTGTGAAGTTGAGCCAGGGCAGCTGGGTAGTGTTTCGGCCTGAATGGTATTAGTCATGAGGGTATGCACTGTGCCGGCGCTGAGCAGCAGACCCCAGAGGACTGTGTGTGTGGGTGTGTGTGTATGTTGTGGGGCAGTCGTACAGATATTTATCAGACGATGGAGCTTGAGGGTAGGATCTCCTCTTACCTGGGCTGAAAGGAGTTACTACAGTCAGTAAGGAATGGAGCTGGAGTGTGACCTCAGGCTGCCTGACTCCAGTCATATCCCCAGTCGTAACATCATGTAGGCCAGGCCCAGTGGCTCAGGCCTGTAATCCCAGCACTTTGGGAGACCAAGGTGGGCAGATCACTTGAGGTCAGGAGTTTGAGACCAGCCTGGCCAACATGGTGAAGCCTCGTCTCTACTAAAAATACAAAAATTAGCCAGCCGTGGTGGTCAGTGCCTGTAGTTCCAGCTACTTGGGAGGCTGAGGCAGGAGAATTGCTCGTACCCAGGAGGTGGAGGTTGCAGTGAGTGGAGATCATGCCACTGTACTCCAGCCTGGGTGACAGGGAGACGCCGTCTCAAAAAAAGTATTATAACGTCATGTAACTTTCTCTACCATATTGTCTTTGATGGACTCTTAGACTCAGCTGATACTTTATTTTGCAGAAAAGAGGTCTTCAGTTAGTGATGGCTGGGTGTGCTAGCTCGTACCTGTGATCCCAGCACTTTGGGAGGACACGGCAATCATATCACTTGAGTCTAGGAGTGTGAGATTGGCCTCGTCAACATGACAAAACCCCATCTCTACTGAAAATACAGAAAAATTAGCCAGACATGGTGGTGGGCACCTGTAATCCCAGTTACCTGGGAGGCTGAGGCTGGAGAATTGCTTGAAAACCCAAGAAGGCTGAGGTTGCAGTGAGCCAAGATCGTGCCATGGCACTTCAGCTTGGGAGAGAGACTGTCTCAACAAAATAAAATAAATACAATAATAGTGATGTCTGCCACCATGGTTTGGCTGTGTCCTCACCCAAATCTCATCTTGAATCATAGTTCTCATAATCCCCATATGTTGTGGGAGGGACCTGGTAGGAGGTAATTGAATCACAGGGGTGGTTACCCCCATGCTGTTCTCGTGATAGTGAGTGAGTTCTTATGAGATCTGATGGTTTTATAAGCCATGGATGGATTTCCCTGCTTTTCCTCAGCACTTCTCCTTCCTGCCGCCACGTGAAGGACATGTTTCTTTCCCCTTCTGCCACTATTGCAAGTTTCCTAAGGCCTCCCGGCCATGTGGAACTGTAAGTCAATTAAACTTCTTTCCTTTTTCAATTAGCCAGTGTCTCAGGTGTGTCTTTTTTTTTTTTTTTTGACGACGGAGTCTCACTCTGTTGCCCAGCCAGTGGCGTAATCTTGGCTCACTGCAACCTCCACCTCCCAGATTCAAGTGATTCTCCTGCCTCAGTTTCTGAGTAGGTTAGATTACAGTTGCCTGCCACCGTGCATGGCTAATTTTTGTGTTTTTAGTAGAGATGAGGTTTTGCCATGTTGGCCAGGCCTGTTTCAAACTCCTGATCTCAGGAGTGTGCCTGGCCTCTGTGAGTGCTGGGATTACAGACATGAGCCATCATGCCTGGCTTGTGGGTATGTCCTTCTTAACAGCGTGAGAACGGACTAATACAACTGCACAGGGTGTAAGTTGGGAGTGAGAGTGTATGCTACATAGTTCGATCCCGACTTAAGTCATGAAACTCAGCAGAAGGTCCCTGTGATTGTAAAGGCAGACAGAGGGAGCCAGGGAGAGTGATACGGAGTCTGAGTGCAGAGCAGGACTCCTGAACCAGCGAGACTCTCAATGTCAGCTTTGCCAGTTTCCATCACTATGTCTCTGAAAAGTTTGCTTTTTTAATCCACAGTTTTTGTATCTGTAAGTTGGACAATTGGATAGATACTTAGTTCCTAAGGGTCCTCATATGACCTAAGTGACATCAAGTACAAACCCTAAGAATTCTGTCCGTTAGGAATCTAACCTACCCAAAATGGCTTAAAGAGAACAAGGAAATTGATTGATTCAATGGACTTACAACCCCAAAGGTAGTTCATGCTTCAGGAGCAGTTTGATCCAGAAGTTCGTGGTGCTGTGCCCTGGCCATATTTCCCTGTGACATTCTTGGCCCTGCCCTTCTCCACAGGCCTACCTCTTGATCAGGCTGTTGTGGCAAACAGTAAAGGCTGTGGTGGTCTCAGAGCTGACATCTACCAGCTGAACAAGAGCAAACGGGTTTTTGGGGGCCTCCTGTGATAAGTGAGGAAGCTCTTTCCCAGAAGCCCTTAGTCAGTGGCTCCTCCTCTCATTGGCTTGAGTTGAGTCACATGGTCCTCCCTGAACCACCACTGTTGTCAAAAGGTTGGGCTGCACCCCGGAGCTGAGAGTGTAGTGAATCCATCCCATCCCGGCCACGGGCTGACACGGGGAAAGGGCAGATCCAAAGGAAGACCTGGGACCTGGATGCTGCTGACTGGGAGACAACGAGGACACAGGGAACCAGCAAATGACTGCCCCTGAGCACTGCAGCCGCCTCCCAGCCAGTTGTCCTCCTTCTTCCTTCTCCTCCTCCTCCTCCTTTTTCGATGGACTTTTGCTCTTGTTGCCCAGGCCAGAGTGCAGTGGCGTGATCTCAGCTCACTGCAACCTCTGCCTCCTGGGTTCAAGCCATTCTTCTGCCTCAGCCTCCTAAGTAGCTGGGATTATAGGCACACACCACCATGCCCAGCTAACTTTTTAGTATTTTTAGTAGAGATGGGGTTTCACCATGTTGGCCAGGCTGGTCTAACTCCTGACCTCAGGTGATCCACCTGCTTCAGTCTCCCAAAGTGCTGGGATTCCAGGTGTGAGCCACTGTGCCTGGCAGTCTCCATCTTCTGTCCTCAACCCAGCAACCAGTGTGAGGCTCCTAATAAGCAGGACAGACGGGACCCGCCTCCTCTTGGCTCAGAAACCTTCAGTGGCTCTCCATCTCCCTGGGGACCAAAGTCGTATTCTTTCCAATTTCCTAACGAGGCCCTAGATACTCTGTGCACTCACTGCTGTTCCCTCCTCCAAAGCCTCATGCCTCTGGGACCCACTTCCTCTCCCTGCAGCTCCCTTGCCCACCTCAGGGCCTTTGCATTTGCCCAGATCTCTGGCTGGAATTCTCTTCCCCAGATGTCTGTGTGCTTCCTGCCCTCACTACTTTGGGGTCTTGGCCAGATGGCACCTCCTCAGTCTAAAAAAGGAACTCTCATCTTCTGTCATCTTCTACCCCTTGCAAGTCTTGGCTTTGTTTTTCTTTAAAGCCAGTGCTTCATAAAATAAATATAGTTTCTAATAGACATACAGACACACATGCACACCTTCCACTCCAGTGTCAGCTCCCTGAAGGCAGCCACCGTCCTCTTGTTGGTGGCTGTACCTGCAGAGTCCTGCACGGTGCCTGGTACATAGTAGATGCTCAGTAAGAATTTGTTAAGCACTGTAGCTCTAACCCCACTGCCTCTTCCTAACAGCCCACTGAGGTCCCCTCTCTCTTACCTACCTGTCCACTCTTGTCCTGAGGACAGGCTGGGAGACCCTAGGGACCAGATGTCACCTACCCTGATGATTTGTGATGTGCATCCTGGACTTTGGTGTATCTACGTGGGTCCTTGGGTGTGGCTGCTAAAAGGCATCATCTTCCTGCTTCATTCTTTTCCTCCTCTTTCTGGGCTGCCTGGATCTTATTAGCTCTGTTTACATGGCCAGGATGTCGAGCGATTAATTTTTAATGGCTTGGTTTATTGCATGTTTGAATGGTTTATTGAGTAATTCCCACATTTAAGTGATTAATTCCCCAGAGTTTAGAACGACTGGTTAGTTTTACATTAATCGGGGTTTCTGAATGCCAAGAGGCAATCAATCAATCCTTCCTGCCAGGGAGAGTAATGTTAAGATACCTCAAGGTACAATGAGGTTAAGAAAAGGCGTAATTAAAACCTTGTCTTCCCCTCATGCAAATTTGATGTCTTTCTCTCTGTCCTTCTGTTCCTTCTGGTACTCTCCCTGCTATCTCAGTACAGTCCTCCCTGAACTCCACTGCTCTTTAAGAGGCACAAATCTACCTCTGTCCCTGGAGGCCCTGACTTCCCTGGTAATGAGGCTCAGTCCAGCTGCTGCTGGGAGTGGGACTTGCTTAGCTCTTGGCCCTCAGGAAGGGGACTTTGGAGCGGAAGAAGCCTGTAGTGGAGGTTCCTGATTTGCAGGGAAGCTCGGCCACGTCTGGCCTCAAGATACAATGTCCAGTCACACCTCGTAGCCAAACAAAGCCCAGGTGGACCTCAGGGAGGACATCTGCACAGGGAGCAAGGGAGGGTGTTTAGGATGGGGTTTTGCCTTTGGATTCTTCTGCAGAGTGCTGTGCTGCTGAGCTTTGAGGAGGAAAGAAACGGGAGCTGCTTTTGCATCTGCAGGAATCTTCTTTTATAGCAAATTATCAAACGCAGTGGTCCAAAACAGCACAAATTCATTATCCTACAGTTCTGGAGGTCAGAACCACAGAATGCACCCCACTGGGCTACATTCAAGGTGTTGTCAGGGCTCCCTCCTTTTGGGATTTCTAGGGAAATATCCATGTCCTTGCCTTTTCCAGCTTGTGGAGGACACCTGCAGTCCTTGGCTCATGGTCCCTTCTTCCATCTTCAGAGCTGGCAGCGTTGCTGCATCTACACATCTTTCTCTGACTCCAACCACACTCTTCCACCCTGGAAGGACCTTTATGATTACTTTGGGCTCACAGAGATAATCCAGGATAATCTTTGCCTTCTCAAAGTCAGATGATCAGTAATCTTAATTCCCTCTGCAGCCTTCATTCCCCTTGGTCTTGTAATCTGACGTAGTCACCATTCCTATGGATTAGGACGTCAGAATCTTTGTGCTGTGGGGAACCACAACGTTGAGAAGATGAGGAACAGGGTAGCTGACAGCTTGGAGGCACAGACCCTGGAGCCTGATACTGTTGGTTCAGTCCTTGCTCAGCTCCTCAGTAGCTGTGAGGACACAGGTAAGTTTTCCAACTGTGCCTTAGTTTCCTCATGTGTGAAACTGAGGCAGATGATAGTACTGACCTCCTAGAGTTGTGCTGGGGAAGCCAGGAGTGATGTAGTCGGCCTGGTGTTTGGATCGTAGCCAGTGTGCTGTGCTAGCAGCAGCGGCAGTGCTGACACCTGTGAAAGAGGATGGAAACAGGAACAAGGTTGCCTACCTCAAGAGGCTGTGGAGGATTCACTGAGAATGTGCTGTGGGGACCGCAGCACTGACAGGATGAGAAACAGGATGGCTGGCAGGTTGGAGGCACAGACCCTGGAGCCTGATACCCTGGCCTTGCTCGGCGAAGTGGAAAGTTCCTTGCAAGATGTTTACAATCACAAAGCAAATCATAGGGGTCCTGGGTGGATTCTTGATGGACAAAACCCGGGGAGCCTGTGTGTACAAACACTGCATAGACTTGAGGGACGGGAGACCCCAGGTACACATGAACAGGAGGCAGGTGGCAATAAGAGCTCAACAGACCAGTGTGAGCTTCCTCTTTCAAACGATATTGTTAGTCCTCCGAGCATCTGTGAAAGAGAGTTATTCTCATCTGAAGACTACGGTTTAGGGAGTTGCTTAACCTAAGGCCGCATAGTTAATCATGGCAGTGGTGAAGAGCTTGGGCTCTGAACCCACAGGTATGGAATTGAATCTTGACTACACTCAAAGGTGGGTGGCACGGGGACAACTCCTTCACTTCTCTAAGCCTCAGTTTCTTCATCTAAAACTGGCAATGATACTATGCCCTCATCATTGGATTTTTGTGCAGAGTGAGTGAGGTACTGTGTGGGAAGTGTCATACCCAGAGCCTGGTTCATAGTAAGCGCTCAGCAAGGATCCCGCGTTTGTCATGGTCCATGGAGGAATGAGTTTGCCAGTTGTCTGGTGGTAGAGGCTTTCTGGAGCAAAGGTTTGGTTTGGATCTTGAAAAACTGAATCTCGATGAACAAACCCTGGGGAGCTTGTGTGTGCAAACACTGCACAAACTCGAGGGACAGAAGACCCCAGGTCCACATTAGCAGAAGGCAGATGACAATAAGAGCTCAGCAGACCAGTGTGAGCTTACCCATTAGGGTGTGTTATCTTACTAGCAGGGAGAGAAAGGCAAGACAGTGAGACAACTAAGATAAGGAAAAATTATCATCCATAAAACCAGCCCCTGGTGCCAAAAAGGTTGGGGACTGCTGATAGAGTGTCTAGATTTAACTGTAGTTCAGATTTCATTCAACTTTTCTTCCACTGGATTATTCACACCAGCATGAGAACAGAGATGTGGTGGAAGTGAAATCTAGGTGGAAGAGATGTGGAAAGGACAGAATTCTCCAGCAGCAAATATCCCAGCATGACTCTAGCTTCAGGTGCATGGAGAAGACGGAAAAAAGTTGGCCAGAGGCTGGCGGGCTTTGTGTGTCAAGCTAAGTTTAGGCTTCGTTTCGTTGGCAGTGGGAGCTGTGGAAGAGTTTGGAGCAGGAAAGTAACCAGAAGCTATAGAAGAAACTCATGGTTTAGGGACACGGGAGTGGAACCCATATGGAGCGATCATGCCGCCAGCAAACCAATGTATTTTTAAAAATTTATTCATTCAACACAAACCGATTTAACAAAAATATGTCTGTTATGTGGTAGAGATAGGGAAGTAAAATACAAATACGAGCTCGTCTTCCTGGAGCCTATGTTCTGGTGGTGCTTGGGAGAGGTAGACACCAGCCAGCAAACACACGGCATAATGATGTATGGTAATAAGGGCTGTCACAGTAATCAAATTAGTCAGTGCAGCATTGGCTTGGAGTGGAGTGGTCAGGAAAGACTCCAGTCTCACTCAAGCTAGACAAGAGTGAAGAGAGCCAGCTTCTGGAGGGGCTGGCCAGGGGTTCCAGACAGAGGGTAAGGCAAATGTCCCAGCCAAGGAAGGAAGGGAGGAGCAGGCTGTGGTCCAGGGATGGAGAATGGAAAGGCTGTGGCCTGTTAGGGACCAGGCAACAGGTGAGCAGGAGGCAGGTGAGCCAGTGACACTTCATCGGTATTTACAGCTGCTCCCCATCACTCACACGATGGCCTGAGCTCTGTCTCTTGTCAGATCAGTGGCGGCGTTAATTCTCATGGGAGCATGGACCCTAATGTGGACGGCGCATGTGAGGGATCTAGGTTGCGGGCTCCTTACGAGAATCTAATGCCTGATGATCTGTCACTGTCTCCCCTAACCCCCAGATGGGGCCATCTAGTTGCAGGAAAACAAGCTCAGGGCTCCCACTGATTCTACATGATGGTGATTTGTATAATTATTTCATTATATATTGCAATATTATAATAATAGAAAGAAAGTGCACAATAAATGTGATGCACTTGAATCATCCCAAAACCAACCCCTACTCCAGGTCCGTGGAAAAATTATCTTTCACAAAACCAGTCCTTGGTGCCAAAAAGGTTGGGGACTGCTGCTATAGTGTCTAGATTTCACTGTAGTTTGTTCTGATTTTATTTAACTTTTTCTTCTACTGGATTATTCCCATCGGCATAAAACCTTAACGCATTATTCCTCCTCTTGAACAAAACAACCAAAACCTCCTGGGGCCCCAGTTCTTTGCACAATCTACTGTTGTCTGTCTTTGCTTCCTTTCAGAGCAGAGCTCTTCAAAGTTGTCTCATTGTCTCCCATTTCTCTCCCACCCCCCATCCTTTCTTTGCCTAAAAGCTTTTTATTTAGAGAAGGTCCAAGAATAGTTCAACGTGCTCTCCAATATCCATCATATATATTCACTAGTGATTATCTTTTGACCCCATTTGCTTTGACACCTTTTCTGTCGACACATGCTGGGCTTTTCTTGTTCTATTTGAAAGTAAATCTCATGATATTTTTCCTGTAAATACTTTTTCATGGATCTGCTTCAAAAAAGGGATATTCTCTTTGAAAACCACAATATAGTGATTAAACACAGGAAATTTAACATTGAAAATATAACCCATATTCAAATTTTACCATCTGCCCCTAAAATGTTCTTTCAAAAATTTCACCTTAGAATTTCATGTGGCGAGACTCGCTTTTTTTGATGTATAGTTCTCAGTTCTGATAAATGCATGCAGGCACGTAACCACTCTGGCAATCAAGATATGAGATGATTCCACCACCTCCAGAAATTTTCCAGGCCTGTGTAGTTAACTCTTCTTACCACCCCAGAAATGACTGATCTGTTTTGTTACTATAGTTTTGCCTTTTCCAGAATGTCATACAATTGGGAACATATAGTATATAAGTCTGGTTTCTTTCATGTAGCATAGTGATTTTGACAATCATAAATATTGTCATGTGTATCAGTAGTTTGTTCCTTTTTACTGCTAAGTAGTATTCTATTGTATGGATGTACCACAGTTTGTTTATTCATTTACTGGCTGAAGAACATTTGGGTTGTTTCTAGTCTTTACTGATTATGAATAAAGCCTCTACCAACATTTGGTGTAAGGTTTTTGTGTGAACACAAGTTCTTATTTATTTCTCTGGAGTACATAGGAATAGGATTATTGGTTTGTGTGGTAAGTATATGTTTAACTTTACAATAAACTCCTAAACTGTTTTCCAGATTGTACATTTTTATATTCCCACTAGCAGTGTATGAGAATTCCAATTTCTCCACATCCTTGTCAGCTCTTGATATTGTCCTTAAAATTTTTTTAGCTATTCTAATAGGTACTATAGTGGTATCTCATGGTTTTGATTTGTTTTTCTCTAATGACTAATGACATTTAGCTTCTTCCCATGTGCTTATTTACCATCTATATAGCTTATTTGATGAAGTGTTGAAATCTTTGGCCCATCTTTGGAAGGGAGTTGTTAGCTTTCTTATTATTGATTATTGATAGGTCTTTATATATTCTGGATACAAGTCCTTTAGCAGATGTGTGACTTGCAAGTATTTTCTCTCAGTCTTTGGCTTTTAATTTTCATTCTCTTAATAGTGTCTTTCAAAGAGCAGAATTTTTAAATTTTGGTGAAGTCCAGGATATTAACTTTTTCTTTTATGGATGGTACTTTTGATGTTGTATCTAAGAACACTTAGATATTCTTAGATCTAAGGTCACAAAGACGTTCTCTTTTTTTGTAGCAGTTTTATAATTTCCTGTTATATGTATATTTTACATGATCCATTTTGCATTAACTTTTTTGTAAAGAAGTAATGAATCAAAGTTATTATTTTTACATGGTGAGGTCGCTTTTTCAGCACCGTTTGTTGAAAGGACTATTTTTTCATCACTCTATTGTCCTTGCACCTTTGTCAACATCAGTTGATTAGATTTGTATGAGTCTATTCTTGGATTCTTTTCGACTGATCCATGTGACTGTGCTTTTACCAGTATCACAGTGTCTTGATGACTGGGATTTCTGTCTTTTTTTTGAGACAGGATCTGGCTGTGTCGCCCAGGTTGGAATGCAGTGATGTGATCTAAACTTGCTGTGTCTCTGCCTCCTGGCTCAGCCTCCCACGTTGCTGGGATGACAGGCACATGCCACTGAGCCTGGCTAATGTTTTTTTCTTTTTTGTATTTTTTAGAGATCGTATTTCATCATGTTGCCCAGGCTGGTCTCGAACTCCTGAGCTCAAGTGATCTGCCTGTCTTGTCCTCCCAAAGTGCTGGGATTGTAAGTGTGAGCTACCACACCCAGCTGTATATGATTATTGTAAAGTTATAGTGGGCTTTGAAATCAGATAGTGTGAGTCTTTGTTCTTTGTTCTGTGTCCAACTTTGTTCTTTTAAAAATTGTTTTGGTTATTCTAATTCCTTTGCCTTACCATATACATTTTAGAATCAGCTTGTTGCTATCTAACAATAATCCTGCCTGGGATTCTGAATAGTACTGAATCTGTAAAGCGGTTTAGGTAGAAATGACATTTTAATAATATTGAATTGTCTAATCTGTGAACATAGCAAATTTCTCTATTTAGGTTTTCTTTGATTTCTTTTATCAGTATTTTGTAGTTTTAAGCATATTTAGTGTTTTGTTAGATTTATACCGAAGTATCTCATAATTTTTGATGCTATTGTAAATGATTCTTTTTTTAAAAAATGGTTTTCAGCTATTTATAGATAGTATATAATTGATTTTTAAAACATTTAACTTATATCCTGTGACTTAGCCAAACTCACTTACTAGTTCTAGGGTTATTTTGTAGATTCCTTGGCATTTTCTACTTAGACAATGATCTCTTCTGCAAATAGGATAATTTTATTTCTTTCCAGTTTATATGTCTTTTATTTTTTCTTGCCATATTGCATGGGTTAGGACTTCCAGTTCAATGTTGAATATGAGTAGTGAGGACTGACATCTTTGCCTTGTTCCCAGTCTTAGGGAGAAAGCATTCCGCTTTTCACTATTACTTATGTGAGTTGTAGGTGTTTGGATATTCTCTGTATTGGGTTAAAGAAAGTCTTCTCTGTTCCTGGTTGTGAAAATTTTTTATGATAAATGCATGTTGAATTTTATCCATTGATTTTTTTGCATCTGTTGAGTCAGTCATGTGGCTTTTATTTTTCAGTCTGTTACTGGTTTGAATCATACTGATTTAAAAATATTAAACCAGTGTGGCATTCCTGGGATAAGCCCCGTTTAGTCATTGTGTGTTATTCTTTTTATATATTACTGGGCTTGCCAAAATTTTATTGAAGAATAATATGAGATATTTTGGTTTGAGTTTTATTTTGTGGTATCTTTGCTTTTGGTTCAAGGTAATACTGGCCCCAGAAACTGAGTTAAGGTATGTTGCCTTCTCTTTTGCTTTCTGGGAGAGATTGTATGCAGTTAGTATTATTTCTTCCTTAAATGTTGGGTAAAATTCTCCAGTGAAACCATTTAGACCTAGAGCATTCTTTGTTGAAGGTTTGTAAAGTGTCTATTTCTAATAGTTATATGGATATTTATATATTCATATATTTCTTCTTGACTGAGCTTTGGCAGTTTATGTCTTTAAAGGATTTATGCATATTACCTAAATTCTCAAAGCATCAGTTAGAAAGTTGTTCCTAATTTTCTCTTGTTATCCTTTTCATGTCTGTAGCATCTGAAGTGATGCCACCTCATTCCTGGTCACAGTCTTTGGTGTCATTTCTTTTTTTTTCTTAGTCAGTATTTGATCTTTTCAAAGAACTAGGTTTTAGCTTTGGGCTTTATTGACTTTTCGTTATTTGTTTTCCATTTTCAATTTCAATTACAGTCATTCACCACATGACATTTTGATCAACCACAGATGGCATATATGATGCTGGTCCCATAAGATTATAATATTGCAGTTCTACTGTGCCTTTTCTATGTAAAGATATTCACATACTTACTGGCCAGGTGTGGTGGCTCATGCTTGTAGTCCTGGCCCTTTGAGAAGCCAAGGCAGGAAGAACCCTTGAAGACAGGAGTTCAAAACCAGCCTGGACGACATAGCAAGACTCTGTATCTGCCAATAAAACAAAACAATACATACCATTATGTTCACAATTGCCTACAGCATTCAGTTCAATAACATGCCATATCAGACTCCACATCTACCAACAAAATAATACAATACATAGCATTATGTTACAATTGCCTATGGTATTCAGTACAATAACATGCTGTACCAGTGTGTAGCTTAGGAGCAAATGGCTATACCATACAACCTAGGTAAGTAGTAGGCTATACCCCATCCTTGCTTTCAATGGCCATACATATTTTAAGAGGAGAAAAATAGACTATACTTTTTTAAGCATTTACCATTTCTGTTCCTCATTCTTAATCCCTGAAGTGCTAAATTCAGTGTTATTTTACTTCAGCCTGAAGAGCTTTCATTAGCATTTCTTTTATAGCAGTTCTGCTAGTAATTTTCTTAGTTTTCCTTCATCTAAGAATGTCTTGTCTTCATTCTTGAAAGATTTTTTGCTGGGTATAGAATTCTGAGTTGACATCTCTTTTCTTTCAGTCCTTTAAAGAGGTCTGACTGTCTTCTGGACCCCATTTTTTTTTTTTCTGGTGGGAAGTCTGCAGTTATTCAAAGTGATATACACCTATATTTAGTGTTTTCTTTTTCTCCAGATTCTTTGAAGATTTAAAAAAATATTTGATATATAGCAGTTGGGTTAGAATGTGTCTGTGCATGTTTTTTTTTTTTTTTTCCTGAATTTATTCTCTTTGGGGTGTGCTGAGCTTCCTGGCTTTATAGATTTGCCTTTGACCAAATTTGGAAAATTTGTGGCCATTATATCTTCAAAACTTTTTCTGAGCCAGTCGTTTCCCTCTCACTTTGAAATTTCAATGACATGAATGTTAGATCTCTTTTATCATCCCACAGGTCTCTTGACACTTTGCTCATTACATTTTTTTCTCTGTTTTTTAGATTGAATAATTTCTATTGATACTTGAAAGTCCCCTTACTCATTCCCCTGTCTTTTCCATTCTACTATGGAACAGAACTTTTCTTTGTTCTTATTTTATTTTTTATTGTAAATTGAGAATTTACAATTGTATAAATGTATGGAGGGACAAAATGACGTTATAATTTATGAGTACAATGTGAAATAAGTAAATCAAGCTGGTTAACACATCCCTTACCTCCAATTCTTAACATTATTTGTGATGACAGCTTTCAAAATGTACTCTCTCAGCAAATTTGCAACGTACAATACTCTGTTATAAACCATATTCATCATGCTATTCAGTAGGACTCAAAATATTAATAGTTTTTTTTTTTGAGACAGGATTTTACTCCTGTTGTCTAGGCTGGAGTGCAGTGGTGCAATCTCAGTTCTCTGCAACCTCTGCCTCCTGGGCTTAAGCAATCTTCCCACCTCAGCCTCCTGAGTAGCTGGGACCACAGGTGCATACCACCACACCTGGCTAATTTTTTGTATTTTTGGGAGAGATGGGGTTTTACCATATTTCCCAGGCTGGTCTTAAACTCCTGAGCTGAAGCAATCTACCCACCTTGGCCTCCCAAAGTGCTAGGATTATAGGTATGAACCTCTGTGTCCAGCCTAAAATATTAATAGCTTTTCAGGGTAAAAATACTTGAGCATTGGCCAGATGCAGTAGCTCATGCCTGTAATCCCAGCACTTTGGGAGGCTGAGGTAGGCTGATCACTTGAGGTCAGGAGTTCCAGACCAGCCTGGCCAACATGGTGAAACCCTGTCTCTATTAAAAAAAAAAATACAAAATTAGCCAGGTGTAGTGGCAAGCACTTGCAATCCCAGCTACTTGGGAGGCTGAGGCAGGAGAATTGCTTGAACCCAGGAGGCAGAAGTTGCAGTGAGCTGAAATTGTGCCACTGCACTCCAGCCTGGGTGACAGAATGAGACTCTGTCTAAAAATACATATGTGTGTGTGTGTGTGTATATGTGTGTATATATATGTATGTATATATATTTGAGCATTATGCTGTGAGACTCTGTGTTCTTTTAACATCCCATGGAGAACGTTTATTTGGTTGTATTTTAGCATTCAGTCACGCCCATTAGGTGCAGCCTACAACTCTGTCTTGCCTTTTGTGGGTGATGATTCTGTGGTGAGGTCAGTACAAAGGCCAGTGCTCTACTGCCATGGGTCTGTCCCAGCCATGCACAGGTGAGCTGGGACCTGTGCCCGTTCATATGTAGAGTCTGGGGAATCCTTTCCCTGACTGGCTCCCATTTCTCTAGTATTCTTCCCCAGTTCTTTGAGTTGCATAGGTCCCTTTTCTTGGTGTTATGTCCCGAGAGACAGGATTTTGTCTGGTCTTGGCTGTGCTGGAAACTTGCCTCAGGTCAAAACTTTGAGAGAAAATAGGAAAATAAAACAAATAGGAACCTCATCCTCTGCAGGTTGCTTATCCAAGTTTTGCATCTCTTCAGTCTGCCTGTTATTTTTTTTTCCACTCATTATCCTCAGGTAGTTTTTGTTTTTTTGTCTTGTTTTTCGTGTTTTTCATTTTGTCCAGAATTTTTAGTACTACTCAGTAGGAAAGAGAGCTGAAAGAGGCTCACTCCTTCCTGGTCAGCATCACAAGCCTGTGGTAATGTTTCTTAACAGCATTTTTTTTTTTCCTGATCTGAGATCAGAAAATGTGCACGGTGTTGGCTGCCATGTCTTTGATTTTTGAACGCTTCAGCTTTTCATTGTTATGTGTGCTGTGATATTTTTTCAGAGCCTGGGCCAGTTTGGTAGAATCTCTCTCAGCCTCTCACCCTTTCTTGAATCATCCTTTTCCAGCTGTTTCTCACCTCTCCAGTGGACATGCTGTAGCCAAGGCTATGGGTAACTTCCACATTGACAAATCCAATGGGGATGGCCCTTTGTCTTCCTCCTCATTTCTCACCCCATTCGATTCTTCCCTTCTTGAAATACTTCCTCTGCTCGGCCCCGGGACACTGTTCCCTCTGGGTTTCCCTCCTTCCTCCTTGGCCACTCTCACTCAGTCCTCTTTACTGTGATGTGAGTGAGGTGTCTTCCCAAGGCCTGGATACTAAACCGTAGAGGCCCTCAGGCACACGTCTTTGTCTACACTACGTCTCTTCATGATCACTTCCATCCCAACCACTGTATTGTTTTTGAGATGGAGTCTCACTCTGTCACCCAGGCTGGAGTGCAGTGGCATGATCTCGGCTCACTGCAAACTCCACCTCCTGGATTCAAGTGATTCTCCTGCCTCAGCCTCCTGAGTAGCTGGGATTACAGGTATGTGCCACCATGCCTGGCTGATTTTTGTGTTTTTAGTAGAGATGGGGTTTCACCATGTTGGCCAGGCTGGTCTTAAATTTCTGACTTCAGGTGATCCACCCACCTTGGCCTGTTAGTCACAAGCAAAAGTTCTTCTTCAAAGGGTTTAGTTTATTTGGTTCCCTGTTCTTTGTTCGCCACTTTCAAGGCCAGACTTCCTTATCCTTTGTGCCTCCCTGCCCTACTTTTAGTAAACAACTTTCTGCCATCCTAATCTACAAAGCCCACCTCTGCTACTCACTTTGTGAATTACCCCACCCTCTGCAATGGCTCTTCCGGACAAAACTGCCCTTCCCTCCTCATTACGCAAACCCCTGTGCTCTTCAAGTAGCCAGTCGGGTTCAGCTTAAATTGTGCGGTCCAATTCCAGCCAATGGAGGCAGGACACAGTAATGGACAAATTGCATTAGAAATAAAAACCTCTTCCCCTATCTGTTCAGTGTGCTCTCATGGCAACCAGCCCTGTGGGCAGCACCCTTTCGCAAAAGTAAATTTGCCTTGCTCAAAAATCCTTTACTTGAGTGCCCATTTTCTTTGTGACACCAAACTTTTATTCCCAACAGCCTCCCAAAGTGCTGGGATTTCAGGCATGAGCCACCACGCCTGGCCTAAGCCGCTTTCAATTCCATCCATTCAGGAACTCCCAGTTGCGCTGCTAGCCCAGACATCTTACACACATTTAATAGGCACCTGCAACTTAACATGTCCAAAATAAATTTCCCAGTTTCCTCCCAAATAGCAAACTGTTCCCCTTGCAGTCTTTTCCATCACAGTAAATGTATACTTTATTCTTCTAGCTTTTCAGGCTAAAAATTGTGGTGTCTTCCTTCATTCTTCTCCTGGTCTCATATTTCAGTCTGTCAGCCTTACTTAGGTATATCCAGAATCTGGCCACCTTGCACCCTGTTCCTTTGCCACCACCTTAGTGCAAGCCACCCCCACCTTTCACCTCCTGTAATCTTTCTTCTGCTCTTGCCCTCTGCAGTCTATCCTTTCTATTGGCAGAAATGATGCTTGCACAAGTGACTTCAGATCATGCCATTCCTCTGGTCAAGGCCCCAGTGGTTTCCCACATCTGCAAGCCTGACAGAGGCCTGCGAGGTCCTTCCCAGATCTCCAGTATCCTCCCTCCACTCACTGTGTCCCTGCTAGTCAGGACTGCTGGCTGATCCTAGGACACATCTGACCTTGTCTTTCTCAGCGCCTTTTCATTTGCTGTTCCTTTGGTGTGGAATGCTTTTCCAGGTATTCAGATGCCTTATTCTCTTACTTCATTCACTTTTCTGCTCAGATGTCACCCTAGAGAGAGGCCTTTGATGACCGCCCTGCTTAAAATAACATTGTGCCCCTGTGCCGCTTCAGTTCCCTGTCCTTACCAAGTTTCCTTTTTCTCTGCTGGACCGATCTTCCCTGGCATGCTGTGTTCGATTTGGTGCTTATGGGCATTCTTTCTTAGTAGAATGTAAATTCCAGAAGGTGAGAATTCACACTAGCCTAGAACAGGTTTTATATCTAGTTAGATGCTTATGGGGATTTGTAGAATTGGTGACTCAGTAAAAATGCTTTTGAATATATAGATTTTATCTCTGTCCTCAAAGCTGGCTCCTGGAGCCATCCAGACTTGCTTTTACAGTCATGTGCCAGGGGAAGGATGGCCCCTGCCTCCCACCCTCACACTCCCAGGCCAGGTCACTTGAGCCACCAACCTGGAATCCTCTCCCATTCCCTACCCCTGCCATGTGCACCTTGACTGACAGCCACAGTGGAGACCACCCTGCTAGTGTCTCCCATGCCTCCACATGCCAGGATCGAGAAGCATTTCTCAGTCCTACCTGCTCTCATGGTGCAGAGGGCGTTGTCAGCAGTGGAGCCCCCTTCCCGGAATGTCACACAGGCAGCCAGTTCTCTGTCATTCTGGATGATTGAGTGTGAGGAATCCATCACTCAGCCTGCCAGGAGATGAGGCAGGAGGCCCGGCCACCACAGTGCCATCTCAGCGCTTCTTCTTGGCTCTCCCCAGGTCTATGCCAGTGCTGATTAAAGGCAGAGAAGCCTATTCTCTGCCCCACAGCCGGTGACAGCAGGGAGCTGCTGGCCAGGGGCAGGCCATGGCTGTCATGCTTCATAGTGATGGGCAGATGTAACTGCTGTCCAGAAGCAGAAGCTGAGACGATAGCTGGGGGAGTGACAGCCCCAGAATGCTGCCTTCAGGCTGAGCTGCCTTTCCGGAGGCCTCTCTTACAGGAAATACCCGAATACAGTCTAGGCACCCAGTCTGCTATCTGACAGTTTGTATTGTGCAAGATGAGTTCATACCATACATCTTTCATTGAATATTCTCATACCCACTGGATTTTTCCCTTAATTTTTTTTTTTTTTTTTAACTAGAGTCAGGTGTGGTGGCTTACAGCTGTAATCTCAGACTTTGGAAGGCCTTGGTGAGCGGATTGCTTGAGCCCAGGAGTTTGAGACCAGCTTAGGCTGTTGCCTAGGAGAATTAGCTGGGTGTGGGTGGCTTGTACCTGTAGTCCCAACTACCCAGGAGGCTGAGGTGGGAGGATTGCTTGAGCCCAGGAGATTGAAGCTGAAGTGAGACGTGATCATACCACTGCCCTCCAGCCTGTGGAAGAGTGAGACCCTGTCTCAATTTTTTTGTTTTTTACTTAGAGTAAATTTTATTCTAAAAAGCATATAGTTATGGGAATTTGACAAATGCATACAGGTGTGTCCACAAACAAGATATAGTATAGTTCCATCATGGCCCCAAGTTCTGCCATGCCCCCTCTAGTCATCCCCTCTCACCATGTCTGGCTGCTGGTGGCCACTGATCTGATTTTGGTCCTTACAGTTTTACCTTTTCCAGAATGTCATGGGAATGGAGTCATATGGTATGTTGTAGGCTTTGGGGTCTGGCTTCTTTCAGCCTCGAGCATTTGAGATTTATGCACATAGTCGTGGTATGTATCTGTCGCTCATTCCTTTTTATTGCCAGGTAGTTTTCCACTGAATGGAGATTTGTATATCCATTCCCTAGCTGAAGGATTTTTGGGTTTTTTCTAGTTTTTGGCAATTAGGAATAAGGCTATCGGGCTACTATACGCATGTGCAGAAAAGTTTTTATGTGAACATATGTTTTCATTTCCCTCGAGTAGATACCTAAGAGTGGCAATGCAGGTCATATGGTAGGTGTATGTTGAACTTTTTAAGAAACTGCAGGCTGGGCACAGTTCCTCATGCCTGTAATCCCAGCACTTTGGGAGGCCAAGGCGTGTGGATCACCTGAGGTCAGGAGTTCAAGACCAGCCTGACCAACATGGAGAAATCCTGTCTCTACTAAAAATAAAAAAAATTAGTTGGGCATGGTAGCATATGCCTGTAATCCCAGCTACTCGGGAGGCTGAGACAGAAGAATCACTTGAACCCCGGAGGTGGAGGTTGCAGTGAACCGAGATTGTGCTCCAGCATGGAGTGCAGCAAGAGCAAAACTCCATCTCAAGAAAAAATAAATAAATAAACAAAGAAAGAAAAGAAACTGCCACAGCATTTTCCAAAGTGCCTGCATCGTTTCCATTCCCACCAGTAGTACATGAGATTTCCAGTTTCTCCACTTCCTTGTCAGTCCTTGGTTAGGCTGGTCTCTAATTTCAGTCATTCTAGTAGGTAGGTGTGTAGGAATATCTTGTGGTTTTAACTGGCATTTTCCCGATGAGTAATGGAGCCGAACACCTTTTCACGTGCTCATTCGCCATCCGTATATCTTCTTCGGTGAAGTGACTCTTCCAAGCTTTTGCCCATGAAAAAATATTGGTTTGTTTCTCCTATTACTGGGTTTTGAGAGTTCTTTGTTAAATATAGGATTTGTAAGTATTTTCTCCCAGTCTGTGGCTTGTCTTTTCATTCTCTTTATACTAAATAGTGTCTTTGGAAGGGCAAAAGTTCCTAAATTTGATGAAGTTCAGTTTATCGATTTGTTCTTTTACAGGTCAGGCTTTTGATGTTCTATCTAAGGAAACTTCGCCTTCATGATTTTCTCCTAGGTGTTGTTTCAGAAGTGGTATAGTTTCACGTTTTATCTCTAGTTCTGTGATCCATTTTAAGTTAATTTTTTTATAAGGCATGAGGTATGTGCTAAGGTTCTTTTTTTTGGTGTATAGACCTGCAATTGTTCTTCGCTGTTTGTTGTGAAGACTGTCCTTTCCTTATTTTTCGACCTTGTCAAAGATCAAATGACCCTTTTTTGTGTGGCGGGGTCTATTTCTGGACTTACTGTTCTATGGATCTATGTGACTATATATATATTTTTTGAGATGGAGTCTTGATCTCAGTGCCCAGTCTGGAGTACAGTGGCGCAATCTTGGCTCACTGCAACATCGACCTCCCAGGTTCAAGCAATTCTTGTGCCTCAGCCTCCCCAGTAGCTGGGATTATAGGTGTGCACCACCACGCCCAGCTAATTTTTATATTTTTAGTAGAGATGGAGATTCATCATGTTGGCCAGGCCGGTCTTGAACTCCTGTCTGCAGGTGATTTGCCTACCTCAGCCTCCCAAAGTGCTGAGATTACAGGCGTGAGCCACTGCACCCGGCTTTGACTATCCTTTTACCAGTACCCCCACATTATCTTGGCTACTGTAGCTGTATAGTAAGTCTGGACATCAGGTAGTGACCATACCTACCTTTTCAGCGGGAGAGGGGGGAGGGGGAGGGGGGTGTTGTTCTCCCCACTTTACCAATGAGGAAACTAACCACAATCGTGGAATCTTCCTGTTAGTCTCCCTTATGTGATGCAGTAGATGCTTAGCTCGTGTTTAACACCTGATGCTTCTCATGCCTGATGCTCAGATCGTCACCTTTGCAGTCTGGTTTGGGTTTGACTCTTAGCTCTGTTTTTGATAGTTGCATACCCCTGGGAAAGTCATCTTACCCCTCTGTGCTTCAGTTTCTTCATCTGTAAAGTAGATGTCACCTACCTTATACATCGTGGCAAAGATTAAATGAGTCCCTGTATCAGGTGAAACCATGTGAAATTGCTGATCTCTGACCATTTTCACGGACACAAATGGCAGTTTTACCTAGTCCAAGCTAACATACAGAAAGTGTTCCTCATAGTACTGGATAGAGGGTATGTTCTCCAGAAGTGGTCCCTGGAGCTGCTGCCATGATCGCTAATACGATGCCTGCTTTGACTGCTCTTGCTATGACATTGTTATTGTTGAAGGTGGTGGCTCTGAGGCTGATGTTTCATGTTCCTTGTGCCCTCTAATCAGGAAGCCAGTGTCTACAAGGACGTCCCAAGTGGCAGGCTTCTTGCTGAGTCTGCAAAGAGTAATCCAGCCCTTTGCAGAGTTGGGTCGTGGGGCAGAAGTGCTCACCTGGCAGGATAGATGTGTGTGCAGAGTGCAGCAGGAGAAGCTTAGTGGGCAGAGGGGTGGGCACCACTGCCCATTAAGGGAGCCTGGTAGGAGGATTGGGAATTTGGGATAGGGAGAGTGTTCCAGGCACAGGTGATGGCTTGTACAAAGGCTTGGAAGGGGCAGCGGACAAGCTTCAGGGGGAGCCTGAGGTTTGACTGTTGGGTGGAGCGGGGAAGCTGCTTACGGTGGCCTAGGCTGCCTGCACAACTGACCCCATGCTTTGCATCCACAGGTCCCACCCACCTCCACCTCCGCCATGGCTGCAAGAACCGTTATCATTGACCATGGGTCTGGCTTTGTGAAGGCTGGCACGGCTGGCTGGAATGAGCCGCAGATGGTCTTCCCGAACATCGTGAACTACCTACCGTGCAAGGAGAACCCTGGCCCCAGCTATGCCCAGAGGCGCGTGAGCCTGGGCATCGACATCTGCCATCCTGACACCTTTAGCTACCCCATAGAGCGGGGCCGCATCGTCAACTGGGATGCCGTGCAGTACCTCTGGTCATTTGTATTGGAGAACCACAGGCGGGAGCATGAGATCCCCCCTGTGATTATCACGGAGACCCCCTTGAGGGAGCCTGCGGACCGAAAGAAGATGCTGGAGGTGAGGCCTTCACAGGGCTGCTCTCACCCAGGAGCAGGAAACAAGTTGACACTATGTCTGGACTTGATTGGGCACCCGGAATTCTGCTTTTTAAGATAAATTGCCAACCGGGTGTGGTGGCTCATGCCTATAATCCCAACACTTTAGGAGGCCCAGGGAGGTGTATTGCTTGAGACCATGAGTTCAGGACCAGCCTGGGCACTACAGTGAGACCCTGACTCCACAAAAAATACAAAAATTAGCCAGGTGTGGTGGTATGTGCCTATGGTCCCAGCTACCTGGGAGGCTGAGGTGGCAGGATTGCTTGAACTCGGCAGGCTGAGAACAGAGTGAGCTGAGATCGCGTCACTGCACTCCAGCATGGGAGACAAAGCAAGGCGCTGTCTCAAAAACAAACAAAAACAAATTGCCCCACAAACATTTCCCAAGAGCCTAGTCAGAGTACCTGGCATGCCGCTAAGCAAGGGAGCTCATGGAGGCCCCACCTGCAGGTGGACATAGGGCAGCCAAAGTGCTCGGTGGAAAGGGGGGCTACCTGGGAGACGTGGGATATTTGTTCATGGATTCCATAAATGCTGATATAGGCCAAGTTCTGGCCCTCAGAGTGCATCCATGAAGGGGTTAACAAATAATTCCGGGTAGCAATGAATTCCAGACACAAAATGAAATGAGATCATGGGGGACTGAGGGGAAGGGGGAACCTGTTTGAAGAGACTGATCAGGAAGGGCTTCTCCAAGGGTGGTGATTTCAGCAGCAAGAGTGGCAAGAGGCAGGAAGGATGGCGAGGTTGGCAGAGGCGGGGCCTTGCAGGCCTGGTAGGCTGTGGGGAGTGCTTGGATTCTACTCTAAATCAAGGATTGGCAACCCAATGAACCGATTCTGGCCCACCACCTATTCTGTAAATAAAGTTTTATTGGAACATAGCCACACACATTTGTTTATATGTCGTGTAACACAGAAAGAGAGAGGAGAGAAGAAAGAAAATATGCTCATTGCCTAGTAGACAAAGCCTTATTGTTATTATTTTTTAATGCTTTCCAAACATCAAGACAAAACAGGAATTCTGATATTTACAGTTTGGCAGTGTGCTTTCCTACTACGGCATCTGAGTTAAGTCGTGCAGCAGAGATGGTTTGAGACCATATATCAAGTTAAAGGCTAAAATATTTACTGGTGTGGGTTTGCTAGATAAAATACATGATGCCTAGACTTGAGTTTGAGGGAAATGACAAATAATGTCTTCGTATTTAAGTATGTCTCAAATAGTGCATGGGGCATACTTACGCTACAACATTATTTATTGTTGATCTGACATTCACATTTAACTGGGCATCCTGTAGTTTCATTTGCTGGATTTGGCAACCCTTACTGTCTATCCCCTTACAGAAAATGCTTGCGAGGCATTGAAGAGGAAGTTCCTGGGGAGTTTTAAATGGAGAGTTGTAAATGGGGCAGTCATGTCTGATTTTCTATTTGAAAAAGAGAACCTTGGCTGCTATTTGGGAAATGACTGGGCGGGAGGAAAATTTTCTGAAAGTGGTAATAGAGGGAGCCCCCTCCCACTGAGGGAAGAGGATGGGCTTGTGGGGGCTTGAAGAGGTGAGTAAGTGGTTGGGGCCACAGAAGTGTTGACTGTTATGATCTTTCTCCTTCTGTGGGATTAGAACCTTAGACAGGCAGCCAGAACTGAGGAATGGTTGGCAGAGGGGCTTCATAAAGATTCAGGGGGTAAGGGGCAGGGGGAGAAAACCAGCCCAGGGGCTCTACCAAACCCTAAATATCAGAATTCCAGGTTTATCTTGACATTTGTAAGGTTTTTATTTTAAAAAAAGGATAAAATCAGGCGCTTCCTACCAGGCAGTGGGCATCCTGTCTCTTTTCTTCCTTTTCTGCCTTTTTTCTTCCTTCTACCTGTTGTCTTTCTTTCTTGTCTCTCTTGTCTGTCCCCCTCCACCTTTTGGAGGCAGTGGTGGATATCCAGCACTTGTTTCTTTTCTAGTCTGTCTTCCTTCTTCTTAAGTGGCAGTTCAGGCTGCATGTGTGACCCGTGGCCATGCCGTTCATGTAGCCGGCATCCCAGAACTGTTTCTTGCAGCCACAGAGCTCTTCTCACCTCTCCACCCAGGTGGTCTGAACGGCCACGAGCAGACAAGCTCCTGAGGGCTAACCCAGCTCCCCTTCTAATCCTCCAGAGCTGCTGCTTTATCCTCACTGCATGAGCTCCAGTAGCTCTGGGCACAGCATCCTGGGGCAGCCTGAGGGTCCCCTGAGGTCGTGGGTCTGTGCTAACTTCAGCTTTGACGGCTGAGCAGGCTGGGGAATAGCACTGAGTTTGCTCTCCCTCGTTGCAGATCCTGTTTGAGTTGCTGCACGTCCCATCTGTCCTCCTGGCCGACCAGGTACAGATGTCCCTGTATGCCTCTGGCCTCCTGACCGGTGTGGTGGTCGATTCTGGCTACGGACTGACCCGCGTGCAGCCTTTCCACCAGGGCCGCCCCTTGCCCTACAGTGGCAAGACGCTGGAGTTCGCCGGCCAGGATCTCTCTGCCTACCTCCTGAAAAGCCTTTTTAAGGAAGATTGTGATAGACGCAGCGTGTTTCAGCTGGAGACGGTCGCTGTGACTCAGATGAACAAGTGCTACGTGCCGCAGAATCTGGGGGAGGCCCTGGACTTTCGCGAGAGCCAGCAGAGTGGCTTGAATGAGAGCAACACCTATCAGCTCCCAGACGGCTCCCGTGTGGAGCTGACCCCCATGCAGCAGATGGCTCCTGAGATGTTCTTCAGCCCACAGATGTTTGAGCAGCCAGGGCCCAGCATCCCACAGGCCATCCTGGAATCCCTAGAGTCCTGTGAGATCTCCCTGCGCCCCCTGCTGGCCTCCCACGTGATGGCCTGTGGGGGCAACACCCTTTATCCCGGGTTCACAAAACGCCTGTTCAGGGAGCTGATGATGTGGGATTATTTTTCCTCCATCAGAGCCACGGTCTGGGCAGGTTCCAATAGAAACTTCAGTGTCTGGCTAGGAGCATCTGTGGTGGCTCACCTTTCTACCTACCAGTCTGAGTGGATGTCCCGAGAGGAGTATGGTGAGCGTATGAGGGTATGACCCTACTGGCTCACTCCTGAGAATGGGCCCCTGTTAGATGGGCATGGGGGGATTAATTCCAGCAAAATGTTCTGGGCAGGGGTAAAGTGAGATGGGGTGGGGTTACCTGGCTTCGGAATTATGGGGTCATGAGGGTATTTTTTAGGTTTTAAGGTTTTATCTTGTTGCAAGAGTGGGATCCACCCAAGGGGGAAGATAAGATGTCATCCTCAGAAACCCTACAGGGGACAGTTTTTCCAGAGTGGCCTGCCACTGGAGTATGAGTGGCTGGCTGCCATCTCCATGTCTGATAGCCACTGGTTTTTCATTGGCATCTCCCTTGGCTTGTCTCATTCTTCTTAGTTGAGTAGATTTTAAGTGGGATAACCCTTCTGCTAGGAGTCCCAATTATTTTTGACTAGGGGATGGGGGAGAGTTGACATTTCTGGTCCCACAGACCCTTTCTGGCCTGTGAGGCATTGCTGCAGGTGAGCCTGGGATGCCCTCGCCACCGTTCTTCCTGTCTGTCTTCCTCCACTTTTGGATCCACTGGTTGGATCTTGTTTTATATCTGCAAATAAACAGCTTGTCTGGAAATAGTGCTGGCTCCTGTGGTGGATGGGGGGGTGGACCCTTGGAGAGACTCAATGAGTGTAAGTGTGAGAGAGCCACGTGGCAGACAGGCAGGCTCTGAGGTGTCGGGCCCATGAACAGTGGCTGCCACTGAGCAGGATGGGCAAGGGTCTGGACCTCCTGTTCTTCCATTGCCACATTCTATCCATCCATCCCCGGTATTCCAATATTCTGTTTAAAGTTTGTCTTCTTATTTGTTTAGTACATATCTGACAAATATTCAGGTACTTACCATGTTTTAGGAGCTGTGCTGGACACTGGGGGCTTAAGGTGAGAAAGATGTACAAGGTTTCTGGTTTCAAGCTTACAGCTTCCTGTGAGATCTGTGGTAGACAGTATATAAGTCAACATATTTCTTGGGCTGGGTGCAGTGGCTCACGCCTGTAATCCCAGCACTTTGGGAGGTCAAGGTTGGCAGATCACAAGGTCAAGAGATCGAGACCATCCTGGCCAACATGGTAAAGCCGCATCTTTACTAAAAATACAAAAAATTAGCTGGACATGGTGGTGCATGCCTCTAGTCCCAGCTACTCAGGAAGCTGGGGCAGGAGAATCACTTGAACCCAGGAGGCGGAGGTTGCAGTGAGCTGAGATCACGCCACTGCGCTCCAGCCTGGTGTCAGAACAAGACTCCATTACACACAAAAAAAAGAAGTAAAAAAGCAAACATATTTCTGATGAAGAATGAAATGAATCCAATGTGACAAGGTCATGTGATCTGGAGGTGGAGGGATGGCCACTTTCAAAGGGGTGGGCTGAGCTGAGGTTGCTAGGGAACATCAGTACCTCTCCTTCTGTGGTACACCATGAGGCAGTGCTCCCAAGTCCCCAGCAGTTACGTAGGGCCAGGTGGCTAAGTTCTGGCACATTTGGCATGCACGTGACCTTTAAAATACTCCTTCACAGCCTGTGGGATGGGTCACATGGGGAGGACATGTAAGCTTTAGGGGGTGGCAGAGCTGCAGATGGAAAGAGTGGAGTAGAAACCCCTGCCCAACCCCACCAATGCTAGCCTGTGGCATGAGGAATCTATGTTCAGCCACTGAGAGTGTGGGGCTGTTTGTTACAGCAACTGTTTTGCTTACTCTGACTAATACAGAGAAAGGAGCCACAATGTACTATTTATTTAACAAAATGTGTTTTCTGTTAAGTGCCAGAACTGGGGTTCGAATCCAGCTTGGGCTGTCAGCCACAGTGTTATCCGGCTGTTTCTGAAAGGGGTTCCTGGCTCCTTAATGTTAAGAGCTGGAATAGAGTAACAAGTGTGAAGCTCAAGGAACTCAGATGTCTCAGGGCAAGTGGAGGAATTTGGAGGGCAGAGTCCAGCTCACCTTATGTTTGAACACATGAGCCATGTTCTCATAGTGACGACTTTGCTTCCCCACACTTGAACTGTCAGCAGTCCCCAGGGAAAAGAATAGGGGCCTGGAATAGCAATTCTTAGGTAGACCAACTTAGAACCAGCCTGGTGCAAGCCCCAGCCTTGGCGTGAGATTGAGTTTCAGGCTGGCCGTGTCACTAGCTGAGCAAGTGACAACTTGCCTAGCAAATAACTAGCTGGGCAAGTTATTTAACCTCTTTGAGTCTATCAAGTACAAAATAGGAAGCAATAACCACCTTCTCCAGAGATTGGGGTTGAAGATGAGCTAAGATAAGGGATGAGAACTTACTTTGAAGCTATGATGTGCTACTGAGGTATGAGAAATGACTTCCAAGTTTATAATTTGACGTCACTCACCTGTTAAACAGGAGTGTTAATGACAATGGCAGCTACCATCACTTGCCGTGGTGAGGGCTTTACAAATGGAGTCACATTTTTTTTTTTTTTTTTGAGATGGAATCTCATTCTGTTACCCAGGCTGGAGTGCAGTGGTGCAATCTCGGCTCACTGCAACAACTCTGTCTCCTGGGTTCAAGCAATTCTCCGGTCTCAGCCTCTTGGAGTACTTCGGATTACAGGTGCACACCACTATGCCTTGCTAATTTTTGTATTTTTAGTAGAAACGGGGTTTCACCATGTTGATCAGGCTGGTTTTGAACTCCTGACCTTGTGATCTGCCTTCCCCAGTTTCCCAGAGTGCTGGGATTACAGGTGTGAGCCACCGTGCTCAGCCAGAGTAACATTTAATCCTCATGTACACACTGTGAAATGAGTGATACTTGTTCCCACTTACAAATATGAAAACTGAAGATTAGAGATGTTTAGCACTTGTTCAAGTTCAAGTTTATCATGCTCTGTCAGAGTTAGGAATGGATTCAGCATTCCTAGAGCACTAGACTAAAAGTGGCTGAAACAGATTTATTTGTCTCAGGTAACAAGGAGACACTCCAGGAGAACAGTGTCAAATCTACACCACCAGGGTCTTCCTTTATCTTTCCATTTCTCCACCTTCAGCATGTAGGCTTATTGGGTTGTGGTCATAAAACGGCATTGGCAGCTCCAGGTGTCACCCCCATATTCTCTGCAGGAAAAGGGAGTGTGAAGGGAGTATCTCGTCTGGGTCTATCACTAGCTATTAGAAAGTTGTCACCCAGTAGACGTCTGTTTAGCTCATGATCTGGAGGTCACTGAAAGAAAAGAGGTGGCACAGGCCGGGAGTGGTGGCTTATGCCTGTAATCCCAGCACTTTGGGAGGCCAACGCAGGTGGATCACAAGGTCAGAAGTTCAAGACCAGCCTGGCCAAGATGGTGAAACCCCGTCTCTACTAAAAATACAAAAATGAGCTGGGTGTGGTGGCAGGTGCCTGTGATCCCAGATACTTGGGAGGCTGAGGCAGGAGAATTGCTTGAATCTGGGCGGCAGAAGTGGCAGTGAGCCGAGATCATGCCACTACACTACAACCTTAGCAACAGAGTGAGACTCCATCTAAAAAACAACAACAAAAAGAAAGGTGGTGCACAGGTACTGCGTGAGCTGATCCACAGTGTCTGTCCCTTGGCAGAGGAGGGCTTTTAATCTAGGTCTGTCCATGCTAAAGCCTGTGTTATCACTGACTCATCTCAGCTTTCTGGGCCTTATTGATTCCCTTGGCTTGAGATGCAGATGTGTGATTTTTCCAGGCTTGTGTGAAAGCTGCTTTTGGGTAGCCGTCGAGGTGTGGGCACCCTGGGCAGCAGTCTTTACATTTGAAACCCCTTTATTTGTACACACCTGAGCCTTAAAAGGCAGAAGCTGGGAAACTTAGAAATGAGGACAAGGAAAAGGAGGGCCTGGAGAGGAGACAGGCAAGGGGCATTTTCTTTCCTTATTTAGCTCTGGGCAACTGTCATCAGAACCCTTTTCCTCATTTCATTCTGAATGTAACATTTAACCTTTCTGTTCAAGCATCAAATCTGGCTGCCTGGTGTATAATTATGAACTTTTCTTCACTTTCTCTCCCCCCTCCCCCACCCCAAAGCTTTTAAAACTCCCTGGTTGGGTACCATCTCTCTCCTCTGACTCTCCAATTAAATTAAAAATAGCAGCTCCATGGGCTGTGCGGGGCCATCAACCTAACGCGGAACTGCTGGCACACCAGGCCTGGTGGGGCGGCACGTGGTGCCCAGAAGATGCCTGCCGGGCACCAGCAAGGCCTGGCAGCTGCTCAGGGCTGGGAGGCTCATCCTCTGTGAGGGGTCTGGGGTTGCCTGCCAAGGGCAGCCAGGTGCAGTGGGGAGGGAGGCAGGGTCTTGGCAGCTGGGTCAGGGGCTGGGTGGGGCTGGCAGAGGGGACAAAGGGAAAGGGCCCCCAGGTGGTCCATCCCCAGTTCTGAGGATACACTCCTCCCGGTTTCTGCTGCCAAGGCCGGGGCTTAATACCCTTGCATCTGGGTGTGGGTAGGGTTTGGATGCCTGAGTTCCCCAAGATAACCCTGGTAGAAGCTTTAGGTTCTGCTGATGCTGAAAACCAAGTCGACATTGACATTGAGCACCCTCCTGGCTCTAGAGGAGAAGTATATGGCCTCTCCCACCTCCAGGGCCCTTTCTTAGACAGATGCTGAAATGGTCAAGGGCATGAAGTCCAGACTCCGTGGACTGCAGTCCCTGCTCTGCTAACGTCCCTGTGCCTCACTTTGTCTCTCTGTAAAGTGGGGATAACAAAGATGCCTGCCTCGGGGTGACTTTGATGATTGCCATGTAGTTTTGTTTTTTTGAGATGGAGTCTCACTTTGTCGCAGGCTGGTATGCAGTAGTGCAATCTCAGCTCACTGCAACCTCCACCTCCTAGGTTCAAGCAATCCTCCTGCCTCAGCCTCCCAAATAGCTGGGACTACAGGCATCCACCAACGTGCCCGGCTAATCTTTTATTTTTAGTAGAGACAGGATTTCACCATGTCAGCCAGGACGGTCTCGATCTCTTGACCTTGTGATCCATTTGCCTCGACCTCCCAAAGTGCTGGGATTACAGGCATGAGCCACCACGCCCAGCCCTACCATGTAGTTTTAATGAGTTAACACACATAAAACACTAAGCGAGTACCAAGCATGCGAAGGTTTGCTGTTACTTCGTACACACCAGCTTCTATTGGCCAAGTCCTTAGGCACAAACCCGGCTCATTTCATATTTACTTGCTCACAGGCAGATAGATGCTAGTGATACAACATGGTTAAAACATCATAAAGTGCTGGCTTAGTTTTCCCGAGGGAAGGCATTGCAGGGTAATTTCTTTTCTTGTCTGAATATTTTGGTCTGAATATTTGTGTCCCTACAAAATTCACATTGAAACCTCATCCCTGTTACAGTGGTGGTAAAAGGTGGGACCTTTGGGGAAGCAAGTGATTGTCATAAGGGTTTTGACATGAATGGGACTAATTCCCCATAAAAAAGGGCCTTGGCTGCCTGGCCCTCCATTCTTTCACCATGCAGGGACACAGTATTTGTCCCTTCTGGAATGCAGCGACAAGGTACCGTCTTGGATCAGAGAATGGACCCTCACAAGACACCAGATCTGTGGGTGTCTTGACCTTGGACTTCCCGCCCTCCAGACCTGTGGGCAATAGATTTCTATTCTTTGTAAACTATGCAGTCTGTGGTATTTTGCTATGGCAGC